AACAGCGGTACTAAGATAAAATGCCAAACAACAACTTAAATCATAACGTTCCTGGATACAGCGGTAATTGTGACCCAGGTCCCAGCAGTCGTTACTTACCCATAACCAGTGACAATGAAAATCCAGAGCTCACTACTTCTAGTCCTGAAGTTCCCTTTGTCTATAGATATGGCATGGTAAATGCTAGGAATGTGAGTATTACAATTACAATTTATTGTTAAGCAGTAGATAACATTTACAGACTAATCTGTCTTACACTTAATCAACGTCGTTTTGTTGTTATTTATATTGCTTACCTAGAAGAGTGATCGGAAACTGGTAACTGGGAATCGACTTGATGTTTGGTGATAAATAAATATACAAAATAATATAAAAAACATCAAAACTATGTTGGAAATGAGTAAACATATTTTGTATACTTCCTACATTTTAAGAAAATGACTAATTTGCCATCCAAAATCCCTTTTTCCATATTAACTTATGCCTAGTATATATAAGTACATGAAAGACGACAACAAAGGAGTATGTTAAATAATTGTGTACACTAGAAAATGGATTTATATACATTTGTTTTTGAAATTAATACTTAAGGCACATTCTAACAGAAAACCGACTGCCCGAACAATATCTGTAAAATAACCATGGGTCTGTGTATCCATCTGATATTGCAGCTTGCTCTTTTTTGATGTGTTCCGTTTTATTATTTTAAAAGCATCTTAATGGCTATTCAATTAAAAATCGTTGTTTTGTCAAAATTTCTAATTTTAACTTAAGAATCCATTTCAAACTAAATTATTTTTTAGTTTCTACTTTGGTAGTTGTGTCTTATTTGTATTCACTTAAAATTTTTAAAACTATTTTAATTGTCTTAAATAGATAACAATGATTTTAAAATATCTAGAATCTATGGATGAATAGATGTGTAATACCAAAATAATTATACAATTATTGTTGATTAATTAATTTATTGTGTATATTAATTGTGTACACAATATAGGTTGTACTCATATTAGATACCTAACCAGGCCCACACTAGCAACTTTTTATGGATAGATTACAAAAACATTAAAGGGCTCCTTAATTTTTGTTATTTAATCCTATTGGCTGTAAATAAGGTATATTAGATTACAGGTTAGAAAAGGGCTAGTGGGTATCGTTCAATCAAAAATCCCTGATTTCTTTAATTGATTTTTGGTTTTTTATCCATGCATACATTGCCGATTATGTTTACATATTTATTAAGATTGACTCTTTATCCTTCACTAAAGAAATTAATATTTTTAACTAAACAGTATAGGATAACATCAGGTTTTTATTGAATGTAGTCAACAAAGATGTTGAGGGGCTAGTTGCATATTCTAGAAAAGCTTGTTTTGAGATAAATAAAGTTAAAGTTTAAAGTCTGTGTCACTCATTTAGTGTTGCTCAGTTGGTTATAAAAATTGTATTAGATGAAAAATCGAATTTTCAAGAAATAATTTATCCTCGTTTTGTTTTTCTTTGCATCCACAAAACTAAATAAATTAAGTTTTTCATGACTTTTCAGTTATCAATTATTATACTATTTTCATTGATATATGCCTAGAACAATTTATTAATAAATTAACCAGATATATATAGTTCTATTCAAGAAAAGAATTTATAAACAATTATGTTAATGCTAT